CTGGAGCAGGTTGCAGGGGTGCGGAGGGGAACCGGGAGGTGCCGGGCCCTAGGGAGGCCGGTCCGCCGCTCCGCGGGCTCTGCGGGAATCAAGGGTCTCTTTTGGAGCCGCTGCGTGCCACTCACGTCCTCACCCTCCACCGTCTGCGGGTTCGAGCCCGGCCCACGAGCGAAGTGCTTGCTTCCCGCAAACAGTATACTTCTGGGGAGAAACATTGGCGAAAGACAGCTTCCGTTTACTCTTGCTTTCGTGGTCAGTCGGCTGGCCACGCTGGTGACATCTTCTAGTTCGTGGCTTAACTCTCGGTTTTGCAAGGGTGGGTTTTTAAGTCGCCTGCAACGGGTCTGAGCCCGGGTACTCCCATTTATGTAGCCAGAATGTCTCTTGTTCACTTAATAGATTTTTGAGTGGCCCTGGCTGGTTTGGCTCAGTGGGTAGAGCGTCAGCCTGCGGACTGAAGGAGCCCGGATTCGATTCCCGGCAAGGGCACATGCCTGGGTTGCGGGCTCTATCCCAAGTGGGCGGGGTACAGGAGGCAGCCGATCAATGAAATGATTCTTTCATCATTGGTGTTTCTATCTCTCTCCCCCTCTCCCTTCCTCTCTGAAATTAATAAAAGCATTTTTTTAAAAAAAATAGATATTTGAGTGAATGAATGAATGAACGAACGAATGCCCTTGCAAAAAGTTGCAGAGCAACTGTTTAATTCCTTTGTCATACCAGAGTATTACTGCTATAGAAGTAAGCATTCCATAGGTAAAGTGCGGAAATGCTCTTATTCGGACCTAGCTGGTTTGGCTCATTGGGTAGAGCATCCGCCTGGGAGCTGAAGGGTCCAGGGTTTGATTCCAGTCAAGGGCACATGTCTGGGTTGTGGGCTCGATCCTCGGTAGGGGGCGTGCAGGAGGCAACCAATCAATGATTCTCTCTCATCATTGATGTTTCTATCTCCCTCTCTCTTCCTTTGTGAAGTCAATAAAAATATACATTTGTTAAGAAAAGAAATGCTTTTATTCAAAGTTGTTCAACGCTGTGACTTTTCTTGAGGCGTGCAAATTCAGCCCTTGGCAGGGCACATGTCTGGGTTGTGGGCTCGATCCTCGGTAGGGGGCGTGCAGGAGGCAACCAATCAATGATTCTCTCTCATCATTGATGTTTCTATCTCCCTCTCTCTTCCTCTGTGAAGTCAATAAAAATACACATTTTTTAAGAAAAAAAATGCTTTATTCAAAGTTGTTCAATGCTGTGACTTTTCTCAGGAGTGCAAATTTACAAATTCAGCCCTTGGTCTTTTCCCCCTCTGCTCTTTGACTTGCAATGGGAATATACTACCACCAGGGGGAAGCACCGAGCTAAGGAACATATGCTATAATAAGACGGGGGAACTGGGCTAAAATGGTTATAAGGCACAAACAAACACCAGTTATGAGATTAAAGTACTAGGGATGTAATGTGTAACATGGTGACTATCATTAATAGTGCTGTGTTGTATATTTGAAAGCTGCTAAGAGAGTAAGTCCTGAAAGTTCTCATTAAAAGGAAGAAACATTTTTTATAACTTTATAAAGTGATGGATGTTAACTAAACTTATTAATGATTTTGAAACATGTACCTTAAACCTAAGCAGTGTTGCATATCAGTTCTAAAACTGAAATTTTAAACAGACCCCATACCTAGATAGCTCTGTCTCCATGGCCCGGAACTTATTTCACAACTGAGCAGGGAAAGTGTAATTATCTTCACTTTTAAAGTGAGAAATGCAAGTGTTTTTATCCAAATATTCGATTTTACATTTTTAAATTAGTACACATGTACTTGCTTGGAAAATAAAAAATACATTATAAGGTACCCAGTGAAAAGTCTCTCCCCCAGCTCTTTTCCCCACTCACAAGTTCTTACAAAAACCTCCCATAGGATGGCACCATTATTAATTTCTTTTGTGTACTTGAAAGTTCTTGGTGCCTCTCTCTGATAATTCAAATATATACATAGAGTTAAATGGGTAAGGATTTTATTAGGGGAAATACCTGTGAGAGAAAATGGGAAGGAGCCAAGTAAGATTGACTGCACTCGAAATGGAGAAGGAAGGAAGAGAGAGTGGAAGCATTCTTGAAGACCTGTGCAACCTAAAGAAGATTCATTGTGGGGGGAGGAGGGGTCTTGAGCCAAAGTCCACCACCAGAGGGGCCCCAGTGTCCCAGGAGCAGGGATGCCTTAGAATCCCACCACACTCCGTCTTCAGCTGGGAGCTCGGTGGGGGGAAGTCTGAGCAAACGTGATGGATTTCAGTTCAGCAACTGGGGCCTTTGGTCAGTCATGCTCCCTGTAAGTGAAGGTCGGTGAAGCACAGAGAAGCTGTATTTCAGAAATCAAACAATGAAAGAAGCACTTGCTGTGCGTTTACATTCCCTGCATAATCTTACACACACACACACACACACACACACACACACACACACACACACGTATCAGTTATATCAGGGCTCAACATCCTATGCTTCCACCTGTCCTGGCAGGTGAGGATGGACTTGCTACTCCTGAGAAACGAGAGAAAGAAGCAGGTGCAACCCATGGCTTTTCTTTTCATATGTAATATTCGATTTTACATTTTTAAATTAGTACACATGTACTTGCTTGGAAAATAAAACATACATTATAAGGTACCCAGTGAAAAGTCTCTCCCCCAGCTCTTTTCCCCACTCACAAGTTCTTACCAAAACCTCCTATAGGATGGCACCATTATTAATTTCCTCTGTGTACTTGAAAGTTCTTGGTGCCTCTCTCTGATAATTCAAATATATACATAGAGTTAAATGGGTAAGGATTTTATTAGGGGAAATACCTGTGAGAGAAAATGGGAAGGAGCCAAGTAAGATTGACTGCACTCGAAATGGAGAAGGAAGGAAGAGAGAGTGGAAGCATTCTTGAAGACCTGTGCAACCTAAAGAAGATTCATTGTGGGGGGAGGAGGGGTCTTGAGCCAAAGTCCACCACCAGAGGGGCCCCAGTGTCCCAGGAGCAGGGATGCCTTAGAATCCCACCACACTCCGTCTTCAGCTGGGAGCTCGGTGGGGGGAAGTCTGAGCAAACGTGATGGATTTCAGTTCAGCAACTGGGGCCTTTGGTCAGTCATGCTCCCTGTAAGTGAAGGTCGGTGAAGCACAGAGAAGCTGTATTTCAGAAATCAAACAATGAAAGAAGCACTTGCTGTGCGTTTACATTCCCTGCATAATCTTACACACACACACACACACACACACACACACACACACACACACACACTTGTATCAGTAATATCAGGGCTCAACATCCTACGCTTCCACCTGTCCTGACAGGTGAGGATGGACTTGCTACTCCTGAGAAACGAGAGAAAGAAGCAGGTGCAACCCATGGCTTTTCTTTCCATTCATATGTAACACCCTGGGGCTCAATGGTACCTTTACTTCAACATCATTCCTTCTCAGCTCCTCAGTGGGCTGAGGTGGCATGGAGTGTGTGTGTGTGTGTGTGTGTGTGTGTGTGTGTGTGTGTGTGTGGTTTCTGGAGAAATGAAACGCAGTCAAATATAAAGATGTACACATAGTTCGCTTCTGCTACCACTCCTGAAACCATCTCTTTCCTCCTTACACCTCAAGGAAATCGTACCAGCTCTTTCCCAACTGTAAAGAGAACCAAGGATTCAGATCACCGAGGTATAGACTTTCTTGTGGGTAATATTTTCTGTTTCATTTTACAAAAATAAAAAGTGTGTGTAAATTGTGTTAAGAAATTCAACTTTTGCATTTCTCACCCTCAATGACAAATAATGTTGAGTATAGTATGAGTAATCCAGTAAGTCTGAAAAATCATAAATTAAACCACAAGTTGAAGGGACTGTGGGTAGTAAGGATCATTTGTTCCACCCCCTCGTCTACCACATAAACTGGGGCCTTTGGTCAGTCATGCTCCCTGTAAGTGAAGGTCGGTGAAGCACAGAGAAGCTGTATTTCAGAAATCAAACAATGAAAGAAGCACTTGCTGTGCGTTTACATTCCCTGCATAATCTTACACACACACACACACACACACACACACACACACACACACACACACTTGTATCAGTAATATCAGGGCTCAACATCCTACGCTTCCACCTGTCCTGACAGGTGAGGATGGACTTGCTACTCCTGAGAAACGAGAGAAAGAAGCAGGTGCAACCCATGGCTTTTCTTTCCATTCATATGTAACACCCTGGGGCT